GGACTGGATGGATAAGGAGAACTGACTGGGACAAGGAACTAGGAATGGGAAGAGACATGACTGGGATAATTACAGATTGGAAGGGACAGGGAAGAAGAAGTCAAGTTGATATTGACTCTGAAACTTGTTCCTCCCCCTGATCCAAAATAGCATGAATCTGGTGACCTTCTGGGCACTCTGCAAAAGGTGCCTGTTCAAAAGGGCTTTTTGAGAAGGCCAATGGTATGTTTCTCAAAATGATGGAAGGATGATAAAGAACTTTCTGTAGGTGGCAAAGTTCCTTTTTGAGTAATATTTTAATACTGCTTGAGTTTTTTTGTAGTATTAATTATGTTAGTGCACTGAGAGCCTTGTATAAACATCTTTTTATTATATTTTAAAACAAAAGAAATAAAAGGCACTAGAGTTAGGAGAGAGAGCAAAACCTGATGGTGTGGAACAATACCTCGAGAGACTGAAAACAAAGAAGAAAGAGGGAGGAGGCATATGGATGAGTAATTTGTTGTGCTCACAGGAACATGGGGTCAGAAAAGAGGTTGATATTATATGTTTTGCGTCTTGGAATCTGGGTCTATGAGGGCTTTCCTTTTAGTTACTCAATGATCTCTGAGTATGGCGTGGGAAGGAAGAACAAATACTAGCTAAAGGATAGAAAAGAAACTTCTAAAGTTCTGTCAATGAGCCTGAGATTCCCATAAGCAATGTGTCACACTGATGGTAAATAGAAGAGTTCCCTTTGTGGCACCTTCTAAAAGAGCTAGGATATATATATATATAAAGGAAACTTGGCATCCTGCAGAGCCCCCAGGGCTGTGAGTCAGAAGAGGGAATTTATGCCTTCATATGCTATTGGACTAATTTATATTTGCAAAACCCCCAAACTTTTCTAAAACTACTTCAGTTCTAAATAATACAGGAAAAGCAAGCTCTGGATTTCTTAGTGAATAGTAAGAAAACTTAAAACCTACTAAATCTCAAAAGAGGACGGATATGCCATCCACTTGGACTGACAGTTCTTATTTACTGAGCATGGTGTGAAAAGTATGTCACCGATCCATCTCTCCCAAACAGGGCTCACATTCTGTGCCTATTGCCTATTTAAGAAAATGGCAGAATGTTGTAGCAGGGCCTTGGTGAATACTTACATACACAGTCTTCTGTCATTACCCAAAGATGCCTTTTCAAACACATCTTTAAACTGTCTCTGGATCACCCAGATATTCCTGGTCTGAAGACCTAAACAAGGTAGACAATCTGTCCAAAACTCTGCAAGAGCAACAGACAATCAATCTCTTATGAAATGATACTTAATTCATTTCAGTCTATCCAATCAGATAAAGCTACAACTTATTCTAGAAGCAAATACACTGGGAAAGTTGGATATAGTCAGAATGCCTTAGTTTCCAGAAGAGAAAAGCTCCCAAGAAAATTAAAATAGGGACAGGTGAACCCATCTATCCACATTCAGCAAAATATTTTTATAAGTAGATATACTTCACAGTAACTGATTTCACAGTGTCCAGTATTCAGTCAAGATTTGAACAGAGACTACAAAATTGTTTGAAATCTGGAAACTCTCAAACACTCCACATATAAGAGAAAAGCAAGTTCAAGATGTGATTTGGGTGTAAGGTTCTATTACTCAACTTCCTTTGTAAGCCATCTGCCAACCTATGGAAAGACTATTACTCAGTGGAATGACAATAATCTACTTCATGTGGTTTTTTTTTTTACAAATAAAAAAATGAAAGTCACTTTCTGATATTGCATTGTTGCAAAAGACTTCTGAATGACTGAAATTAATCAGAGAATTTTTTTTTAATACCATACCCACAATAAGAAAAATGGTGTGACAACTGTAATTCACAAGCAACTAGATTTTTGCTATTTTGCCCCAGGAAAAGGATGGTTATGAATACAGGTTAAGATTAAAATTTACATATCACTTTTGGTGATTCCACTCTTTTCTTAGCCACATGAGCCTAATTCAAATAGCATTGAAGTCCATGGGAGTTATATTGGCCCCTATTATAGCATTAACTTTTCTATTAGTACATAGTTGGACAAATTTGATCCTCTGAAAGCACTGGGTTGACCAATTTAACTGAGGGGCAGAATTTGCTTTGTATGTTTTGGGAGATGATCTAAATACTTCAGATCCTATAATATACATTTTTCTGAAATCTAAAATTAAAGTCCTTTCATTACTTCAGCCCTCTATAACCAACAAGTAAGAAGTATACTGTTCCTCCCAAGATCCCAGGGGACAGACTGTGCTAGGACACAGCAGGACACTAAACTAGACCAGCACTTTGCTGTCAGTCCCATCAGTTTCTACTGAATGTGAGCTTACGTTTGGGGAAATGGGATTTATTAGCTTTACAGTTCTAAACCTTTCAAATGTGAATTTATGTAGTGTCTTCAATCTCCACAAAGACAGCCTGAACTGTCCTCTTTCATCTCAACAATGTGGTATCTGGAAGCTATAATGATAGTTTAAATGGCAGCCCTACTAACTATTTCATTGCTGATCATCTAGCAGAAAAAGTCAGACATCATGGAATGGGAAGGCAGAACTTGCAGAGACTTCCATCTCAGTCTCCTTCCTCCTTCCCTGCAACAATCTAACTCTAGCTCTATAACAATCTAACTCTATAACAATCTAACTCTATATTCCAAAATATAGCGTAGGAAACAATCTCTGACTACTGGGGGGTGCACTATATGACATAGCAAAGATAAGATCTGGGAAAAGCCCTATGCTTTATTTAGATTTATTTTTAAATAGATAAGTATTCTTATGATTCTTTTCAGACTCCTCTCCCATATTTGTATCAATTTAAAAAATGTAGTTTTCTAACAACTTCTCTCGTTGTATCTGTTAGTGTATCATACCTACTTTTCTCAACAGCACCCATTCATGGCTGGCCACAATAACTCTCAAAGCATTAGATACACCTAAGCCCCTTCATTTTCAGTTTCAGCTGATTCTTACTGAAAAATTCCTGGGTATTTTAAAAAGTATTATTCAGTTTTTTTGATTCACCCTACTTTTGTATCATTCAAATATATAAAAATAACTTGTTTTATTAGGAAAATACAATACATCGTATGAGATATATGTATTATGATAATACGTTAGTCTGAGTGTATATGCAAAGCTGCCTGTTGAAGTAAGGCTATGCATTAGTTTAGAAGATACACACAATAAACAAACAAGCACACATGCTCTGAAGTGCGTGCACATCTGAACGTACTGGTGAATCTCATGCCCACCACATACACATTTCAAACTGTTAGCAGAAGACAGTTTAAAGATTTGACACACTAAAATGGGAAGAAAATGAAAATCTGTATTAGAATACATTTCAGAACACAAGAAAGTATTCAAAAGTTTTATTAAAACAAAAACAGGAGAAAAGGATGAAGTTGAATGTATGTCTGTAAATGGTGTGGCCCAACTATTAAATATAAATACTTATAGGCTAATAGTCCTAAGTCTGCAACAGTAAACTGTTTATTCAAATGAAAAGCTTTATTTGGGGATTAGAGATTTATTGTTTTCTTAAATTCAGAGGAAGCATTGTGTTTTGAGTTCTGTTTTAGTTCCACAGCAAACCACATTGATGAATACAATTCAGAGCATTAATCTACTAAAAACTTTTTTCCCCTTTCTGTCCACTAATGTTTACCCAGATGTTTACCCAGAAAAATAGTTTTTTGCACTGATTTGCACCTGTTTTTGTTGTTGTGGCAATAAACACCGATAAATTCCTGGGAAAATTAAATAAAATAAAAACTGAAAATGAAGGGCCCTAGAAATACCATATATAAGTTATAAAAGCCACAGTGAGGATGAGCTTAACTCATTCTTTACAGTTGTTTCAAGAAGTTCTGTTTGGCACAAGCTATTATTCTTCTTGATATATTGAACTAGACATTTTTGTTCTACCACCATGAAATCGTTTACAAGGATTTGGAGCACTTTCACTTGCGGGACAATCAATTTTATTAATATCTAAGAACTCAAGACTGTGTTTTTCTCATGTACATTCAGACTATAAAGTCTTCATTCATGTAGCAACCAAACCATGCAAAGTTTATCACAGCAATTAACTTGGGACTTGGAACTGAGATTTGGAAATAAAATTTTCTGATAATATCTGGAGGAAAGCTTGGATAAAATGCTTCAGAAGCATTAAGCAGTTATATTTGTCTTATTTCAAATTTTTAAAGTCTTGTGGATACCGTTAAGTTTAGGAGTGATGGTGCTTTCCTCCTGCAGCTGTCAACTGCAATCTAATTAGTGCTTATTTGTATTTCAGTAGTGCAAAAAAGGGTAAGCGCTGTACAAACATGTAGGAAAACTGCCTCTCCCCTAAAGAGCTGCCAATCTAAGGAAGTGGTTTCCAACCTGTGGTCCAGCAGCCCCTGGGGGTCTGCAGACTATGTCTTAAGATTTCCAAAGGGGTCCACAGCTTCATTCAATATTTTTTAGGAGTTTGTAAATGCAAAAAGGTTGAAAAGCACTAATTTATGGTCTTGTTCCTGCAAGTTGCCCCATGGAGCTGGCCTCCTGCAGAGTCCCACTGACTTTGCTAAGGCCCAAACCCTGAAAACAGGCGTCTCAGAAACCTTGTGTACCTGAGCAAACCAGCTGAAGCCAGTGCCAGGACTGGTGTGCATATGTGTTTGAAGGATGGGGGCTTAAACATCTATGGTGAAATCCTGCCCCCAGTAAAGGCCATGTCACAACTCCCCCCGGGATCTCCAGGCTGACCAGCCATGGGACTCCTCATTTCTTGCAAAAAGAACAGGAGGACTTGTGGCACCTTAGAGACCAACAAATTTATTTGAGCACAAGCTTTCGTGCGCTACAGCTCACTTCATCGGATGCACCCTTGAACAGGGGCAGCGAGGAGCACGTGTGCTGTGCGTGGGGACTCAGCCCGGGCGCTCGCTAGCCCCGCGGGGCGGGCTCTGCAGCGGTGCCCGGCCGGGTGTCAGGTTTCCCGGAAGCGGCTCTGGCGCCCGCACGGTGCTGCTGAGCCGGGGAAGCCGTTGCTGCCCGGCAGCCCCACGCCTGTTGCACGCCGGTCCACAGAGCGCCCGAGGCAGCGGCAGCAGCAGCAGCAGGTGACAGAGCAGCGGCTGGCGCGGCCGGGGCAGGGGGATGGAGGCGCCGCGGCGGGAGGAGAAGCCCAACCCCCTGCGGGCTGCCAACTTCTGCTCCCGGCTCTTCTTCTGGTGAGTCCCTGCCGCGCCGGCTCCCCGGCCCGGGGCGGCCCCGTGCGGCAGGGCTGCTCCGGCCGCTGGCGCCCGGAGCCGGGCTGTGCAGAAAGGGGATGGGAGCGAGCCGCGCGCAGGCAGCCTGGGGAGGAGAGCGCCCGCCCCGCCGCCTGGTTCAGCCCGGCGGCGCCTGGCCCCTTCCCGCGCTTTCCCGCGGGGCGGAGGCTGGGTGTCAGTGCGCCCGGGAATGCCGCTAGCGGCCCCGGTCAGGGCCGGGGCCCCGCGAGCAGCAGCTGGCCCCCCTGCCCCCCCGAGGTGGCCGTGGGCCAAGTGTCATCGCTGACAGATCATGGGGGCGGCGACGGCGCTTTGCTCGCGGGGCGGGGCGGGGGGAGGTCTTTCGGTGCGAGCAGCCCGCTTCTCAAAGACTAGGTCTGGTCAGGTCATATGAGACCCCGTCTCCTGAGGTGAAATAGTTCCGCCTGGCGCTGCCTGCCAGCCTGCTGCACCAGCTGGGCTGCTACGGCGGGTTCTTCAGCCAACCCTCCACTAACCTCTCGTAGTGAGCAGCTGGTTTGAGAAGACCCCCCCTCCCGCCCCGGAGCACACAGCCAGGGGCAGGCTGTAAAGTGGAGCTGCGGCGGAATCAACCTCCCTTGCCTGCTTCTGTTACCCACAGGTAGTCAGGGGCCTTAGAGGCGTGCCCATTTTTAAGTATCCCCTGTGGCTTGCTACTGTGGAGAAGGTCCTTGTTTACCGTTGCTTCAAGCCCCGTTACACTATTCCGTGTGTCATTTTGTTTTATGTAGCAATTGGGGAAAGGGGAACCTTCTTTTCTACTTGTGTCAACACTTACCATTGTCTGAGCCACCTGTGCTGAGACCAGTTCTGACGCAAGTTGACTGAAATCATGCTGTTTCTTACCTAATGGATCAGAGGCAAGCCATTCATTATTCATTCTAAAGAAATCTGCCCTATCTCTAGCAAACTCCTGTTGTCTTAAATGAGATCCCTCAAGCAGCAGGTGGCTCTCTGGGGAATCTCCCAAGGCAACAGCCATCCAGATTATTAGCTGACTGCTTCCTGCAGTATCATTCCTGACCATTGGTTGTATCCTTTTTGGGGTGGTAGAGTTTTTCACAGTGGGGTGGGATGGGGAGAAGAGCCCATACAAATTACTATGTACTTGGGACCAGATTCTCCACTGCATTTGCTCCTTTGCAAAGCTAATGTAAAATTTGACCATTCTGATTTGGTAGCATTTTACAGTTATTTCACACAGGTGTACATGATTACTCAAGGTGCAAGACAATGGAGAATCAGTCTATTGTTTGCTGCACACTTTCTTTTTTTTTTTTTTTTTTTTGAAAAGGGTGTCAGTCTATCCTCCCATCTGTCTTCTCTCACTTTGTGGATCAGGATTCCAGCAGAGCCGATATGGAAAGTTTCCCGGTAGGGTGACTAAAGGAGAAGGGAAGAGCAGCATTTCCCCCAGTGCAGGCTTCACTTGCAGAGAAGGAGGGAGTGGTGAGGGGAGAAGTGCTGTATTCGTTGTTTGGAGCTCTTGGGAACGCAGGAAGAGTTTGAGTAATCAAACTTTGGCCTGATCCTGCAAACAGTTCTGAGCAGGTACAGAAATCTTTTTTAGAGGATGGAGGGATGAACAAACAAAAATGTACAAACCTGGTTTTACCAGATTTGCCTGTTATTTTGGGGTATGCTCATTTATTAGGGTTACTCTTCCTGCAGCCCCCATTGGCCTGGAGCAGCAAACCACAGCCAGTGGAAGCTGCAGTCGGCCGAACCTGCGGAAGCGACAGGTAAACAAACTGTCCCAGCCTGCCAGGGGCTTTCCCTCAACAAGCGGCAGCCCTAGTTTGAGGATCACTGGTCTAGATGACATTACTATAAGGTAGATACATAACTGGCTGAAAGACCATACTTGAGGAGTAGTTATCAGTGGTTTACTCTCAAACTGGGAGTACATATCAAGTCAGGTCCTGCAGGTATTATTCATTATTTTCCATTAATGCCTTGGATGATGGAGTGGAGAGTACGTTTATAAAATTTGCAGATGACACCAAGCTGGGAGGGGTTGCTATCTTGTGGGAAGACAAATAAATTGGAGAATTAGTCTGGAACTAAAAAGACAAAATTCAGAAAAGACAAGTGCAAAGTGCTGCACTTAGGAAAGAAAAAGCAACTGCGCAGATACAACAGGGGGTTTAACTGGGTAGGCAGTGGTACTGCAGAAAAGGATCTGGGGGATGACTCAACAGTGTAATGCTGTTTGAAAAAGGCACATGTCACTCTGGGCTGTATTAACAGGAGAGTCATATGTAAGACATGGGAGGTAATAGTCCTGCTCTACTCCACACTGGTGAGGCCTCAGCTAAAATACTGTGTCCAGTTGTAGGCATCTCCTTTTAAGAAAGAGAGTCAAAAGGAGAGTAACAACAATGATGAGATACTTTGAAAACATGACCCATGAGGTAAGGATGAAAGAATTAGGTATGTTTTAGTCTAGAGAATAGAAGCCTGAGGGTGAACATAAGTCTTCAAAGATGTAAAAGGTTGTCATGAAGGGGATGGCGATCATTGTTTGTCAAGTCCACCAAGGATAGGACAAGATGTAATGGGATTAGTTTGCAGCAATGGAGATTTAGGTTAGATGTTAGGAAAAAAATCGATCTATGAGGGTAGTTAAGCTTTGGAATAAGCTTTGGAATAGATTCCTAAGGGGGGCTGTGGAATCCTCATCAGGTATTTAAGAACAGGTTAGACAAACACAATCAGGGATGGTCTAGGTATACTTGGTTCCACCTTATCATGAGAGGATGGATAGATTACTTCTTGAGGTCCCTTCTGGTTGTGATTGGTAAAGATTAAGGCTGAAAGTCTTTCAGGGAGGTCACAGAAGTCATGGATTCCATGATCTTCCAGGACCTCCGTGACTTCGGCAACTGCAGTGGCTGGTGCAGCTGGCCCCAGGGCCCCCCTAGCTGCTCAGGCAGCCCTGGGGCCAGCTGCACTGGCCGCTGCTCTGGCGGCCCCAGGCAACTGGTCCCGGGTGCTGACCTAGCGCAGCGGTCCGGGAGCAGCAGCAGTGCCCCAGGCCACCCCTGCCCAGAGGAGCAGCAGCAGTGGTGGGGCCCCAGGCCGCTCCTTGCCCGGAGCAGTGATGATGGAGCCCTGGGCTGCCCCCCACCCAGAGCAGTGGCAGCGGGGCTCTGGACTGCTCCTCACCTGGAGCAGTGGTGGTGTGGCCCCTGGTCACCACCCCCTGGGCCCAGAGGAGTGGTGTCAGCAGGGAACCTGGTCGCCTCCCGGCCTGGAGGAGTGGCAGCGGTGGGGCCCTGGGTTGCCCTCTGGCCCGGAGTTCTGGTGGCAGGGCCCCAGGCCGTCCCCCCCAGGAGCAGCAGTGGCAGGTGGGCCCTGGGCCGCCCCCCATACCCAGAAGCAGCAGCGTCCACTGGAGCACCCTTCCTCCCCTTCCCCCCCCCCCAGCACCTAAGATTTAGGGGTATTTTTAGTAAAAGTCATGGCCAGGTCATTGGCCGTGAGTTTTTGGTTATTGCCTGTGACCTGTTTGTGACTTTTACTAAAAAATAGTAAAAAATAATAAAAAATTAAATCGTAAGCCTTAGTAATTATAGGTATTCAGCTCTTGTACAGCACTTTTCAATCTGATGATAGTGCTATTGGCTTACCAAGGAAGTCATTTAAGGTGAGCGACTATCCACTTCTAGATTTTAGTAATTCTCTTCAGTAGTCTTAGTCAAGATGTCAGTGGAGAAGACTCACTACTAGATTAGGGGCAGACAGGCATTTTGGGTCTGGGTTTTTTTTTTTTTCAGTGACTTGCACCTTGTGTAGTCATTTGCACCTGTGGAAATAAGGGTTGTAGTGTTTTACACCTATTTTGCACAGGTTTAGATAACTACATGCTATTTTTTCATAGATTTTAAGGCCAGACTGGATCATTAGATCATCTAGTCTGACCTCCTGTATATAACAGACCATTACATTTCACCCAATTATCTGCCAGCTGAGCCCAGTAATTTGTGTTTGACTAAAGCATGTACTGTATTCCAGAAAGGCATGTAGTCTTGATTTGAAGCTATCAACAGGTGGAGAATCTACCATGTCTCTTGGTAGTTTGTTCCACTCGTTAGTTACCCTGACTGCTAAATTTTTTTGTAATTTCTCATTTGAATTTGTGTAAAAGTCAAATGCCTTACAGAAGTTTTTTTGCCTCTACACAGCCAGACTTGTAATCTATTCAAAGAATTAAATCAGGTTTACTTGACAAGGCCTATTTTGCATAAAACAATATTGACTGGCATTAATTATATTCCTGTCCTTTAATTGTTTATCAGTTGAATCCCCTATCAGCTTTTCCATTATTTTGCGTGGGTTAAATGTCAGACTAACTGGCCAGTATGAGGCAATGGAGAACCAGGGACCTTTGTGCATGTATTGCCTATAGTCTCTAAATATTTACCATCACACATTAGCATTTATTAGGTTTAGAGGTTCAAGTTGAAATATCTGCGGAACTCTTCAAAGAGGGGCTCTGCATAATGTAATGCAACTTGGGTATGAGCTATCAAAGTCAAGCTGTGATTTAGAATGTCAGATTAAAATATTAGTCATTGTTGGGCTGTCTATCAAGTTTGCAATGAAGAAAGGATTCTGTTTTTAAAAAAAATGCATTTAAGCACCAAATATGGAGAGACAGTGATGAGGATAGTTGCTCAAATAACTGAGGTCCCAATCACTTACTTCAATAGGGGTGAGGCGGTCTGCATAGAGCCTATATCAGGACTGGGGCTTTTGTACATCATAAACAGAAGCAGTTTTTTCTAAGATCAGAAGGAGGCTGAGCTAATAGGCATTTTGTAATAGATAAAAAGGCAACCTCCTGTCTCTTTGTTTACCAGAAATATAACGCTGTGCTGTATTCAAAGTTTATTCATTCAACAATCACATGACAAACTGTGCTCATTTTAATGTAA